AATGACGCACCCATCCTTGATGAAGACATCCTTGCATCGTCTGAGATATGCACCCAACTCGGTCCGACGCGTAATGCAGATGTAGTTCTTGCCTTCTGCATGCGCGGAACGCGGTCCCGTAGCAGAGACTGACGCGGGCACCGTCGGGAACGGGCGTGGAGGAGCGAGTTTGCGCACTTTGCGCCCCGATGCTTTCCCGCTGTCGTTGTCCCCCTGCTCCCGTGTGCGCTTTGTCGCCTGTCTAGGTCCATCTTGCGATGGGGTATCGAGGACCATCGTCGTCACCTCCGTCGCCACTTCGGAACTACTTGCACATTTCTCGCGCATCTCATCTGCTTGGATCTTGGGTTTCTTGGTCGCGGAGCTGCGGTCGGCGTGTAACAATGAGTCAAGCTTGCGCTTCGCCATGGGCGGTCCCGACGACGTCGCCAACGACGAGCTGCGAGCGGGTTCAAGGGGCAAGGTGAAACAGCGGTTACTTATCCGGAGTGTTATCCAATAAGTGTACTGTAAGTATTTAGACGCTTGACTAATAAATTTTGGACTTCAGATTTCTGACGAGGCCCTCTTGCCTTCGTCCCCCATCGTCCCCCTTCCTCCCTCCTCAATCTCTGCACAAAAAGGGTTTCATTCATTGAGCACCCAGAATACGCCCAACATGAGTCAGGATCCAGCGGAGCAGAACATCCAGATGTGGAAGGTGAAGAAGCTCATCAAGAGCCTCGACGCCGCGAGAGGGTGCGTCGGTCTGTGATGCATGCGTAGCTGAGAGCTGACCATCTCGCTTAGAGCTGGTACATCCATGATCTCTCTCATCATACCACCAAAGGTACGTCAGATTGGCTAGGATCAATGACAGATCGACTGACGGTCGAGTATAGGACCAAATCTCCCGAGTCTCTGCGATGTTGACACAGGAGTACGGAACGGCTTCCAACATCAAGTCTCGTGTCAACCGACTTTCTGTGCTCGCGGCCATCACGTCTACACAACAGCGTCTCAAGCTGTACAATCGTGTACCTCCGAATGGCCTCGTCCTCTTCGTCGGCACGATCCTGACGGACGAAGGCAAGGAGAAGAAGGTTTCCTTCGACTTTGAGCCTCACAAGCCTATCAACACGTACGTTCCCGCCCTTTTTATATGTCGAGCTCGAGCAAACCTATACCCAGGTCGCTGTACCTCTGCGACAACAAATTCCACACGGAAGCGCTCCAGGAACTGCTCGAGTCGGACTCGAAGTTCGGCTTCATCGTCATGGATGGTAACGGTACACTCTTCGGGACCGTCGCCGGCAACACGCGCGAGGTTATCCACAAGTTCACCGTCGACCTTCCGAAGAAGCACGGCCGTGGTGGTCAGTCCGCCTTGCGTTTTGCACGTCTTCGTGACGAGAAGCGCCACAACTACGTCCGGAAGGTCGCGGAATTGGCTGTGCAGCACTTCATCACGAACGACAAGGTCAACGTGACTGGTCTCGTGCTCGCGGGTAGTGCGGACTTCAAGACTGAACTGAGTCTGAGCGACATGTTCGATCCTCGTTTGGCCGCGAAGGTGATCAAGGTGGTCGATGTCAGCTACGGTGGCGAGAACGGCTTCAACCAGGTATGCTCCGCGAGCTGTTCCTTCTCATATGCGGTGCTGATTCCCCTGTGGTAGGCTATCGAACTTGCAGCGGAGGCTCTGTCGAACGTCAAGTTTGTCCAGGAGAAGAAGCTCATTCAGAAGTACTTCGACGAGATCAGCCAGGACACCGGCAAATATTGCTTCGGTATCGACGACACGCTCAAGGCACTCGAACTTGGTGCTGTCGAGACACTCATCGTCTGGGAGAACTTGGACATCACCCGCTACGTGCTCCGTAATGCGGCGGGAGGTACGTTGACCGCTCATGCTATTCGCTCTGACTGTGTACTCATTGTGTATGCACAGAGGAGATTGTCGTTCACGTCACCAAGGAACAGGAGAAGGACCGCGAGAAGTTCATCGACAAGTCCACGGGTCTGGAGATGGAGAAGGTCTGCGAGCCCCAGTCGCTGCTCGAATGGTTTGCCGAGAAGTACAAGGAGTTCGGCGCGAACCTCGAGTTCGTCACCAACCGGTCACAGGAGGGCGCTCAGTTCGTGAAGGGCTTCGGTGGTATCGGTGGTCTGCTTCGGTACAAGGTTGACTTCACCAACCTCCAGAGCGTCGACGACGAGGAAGACGAGTTCTTGTCTGACGAAGACGACATCTGACTTGAATGGAGGCTCCACAGTGGAGCCCCGCCTGGCTTGGGCACGCCGGGAGGGGCGGAGGGTAGGGGAACGTCGGGGGCGCGTCTCGGGGCTGAAGGTGTCGATGCGAAGAAGGTGGAACTGCCGGATCGTGGGGCGAACGACCGCAAAGTCGTCCTATCGTCCATTCGGTTGGCCAGGTCGGTTGCAGTGGTTGGGAGCGATCCGGAAGGCAGGAAGACCACGAGGATGTATATGCCGGAGAAGAGTAGTGGTTGGCTCGACGAGAGGGGAATGGAAGGCCCTCGCTGGAATGTTCAAACTAGCGTCAATATTATGAGACGTCCAAGCCACGTCAAGGTGCGATTCTCATCGCCCTCCTGCTGTCGTATCGTCACTGATCATCTGTTTGCAGAACCTCAGTTGTCCCTATCGTGTATTTGTTTCGCAACGCACCTGTTGTTATGATATTGTTCGCTGTCATTGCTATCCATCACACCAGTTGTAGCCTTCTGGACGCAAGGTACCTAGTAGCTAACTTTACGAGAATGTCATGATTGTTGTAGTCGTACTACGCGCCTCAACGAGAGATGTCACGGTGAGATCAGAGCCGGAAACTCCCCTTCCTAGCATGCTGCAGGGTGCAGAACATCAAATGTGAACGACCACACGGGTGGGACAGGATAAGTATTCGGCGCAGTGTCGTAAGTGGATGTATGTACTGAGACCTCGGAAGTATCACCGAAGCCCATCCTTTGCACGCGCAGCGGCTAGCTTTCGCTCAATGAAAGACAGGCGAGCATTGCCCTCTTTCGTTATCGCATTGACTTCAGGATCATTCACGAAGTCCTTGAACAGAGGTGTCCACTTCCACACCTCGCCCTTCTTCCGCAGATACCCCGGAACAGAACAGAACTCCGCCTTCTTGGGATCCGGCCTGAAGACAATCCCTCCGTTCATGTACCTCAGGTTCCCGTCGATCTGCAGCTTCTCGCAGGCGTCGCACGGGTGGATGGCTCGCTCCGGGTTGTCGAACGTCTTCTCCATGATGTAGAACTCGGCCTTCGCGACCTTCTCGGACGCCTGGAAGACGACTATCTGGGCGTTGACGAAAAGCGGGTCGTGCAGGTGCGAATCTATGAGCTTCTGCCGGTGGGACGCGCTCGACTCCCACATCGCCGCGTACTGGGGATAGCCGCGGGTCCAACGGGATAGCGGAAGGTACACGCCGCCCTTGAATGCGAACGCGCGAGAGGGATCGATGTCCTTCATGAATGCACCGGGGCCCGGATCATTGAAGCGCAGGGGAAAGACCAGGATTTGCGGCTCGTCGCGGGCAAAGATGGCTTCGGCGCCACCCTCGAAGAACGCTCTTGAGGTCACGTAGTGCAGGATGGCACCACGGTGAGCCTCGATCCAGTCCCGCAGCAGGGACTGCAAGAGGCGTCCTTTCTCTTCCTCTGCGAGCGCTGCAGGCGTCGTTGCCGAGCTCGGTGACGGATCGTTCATGCCGCTGTACAGCTGCGCAAAGCGACACATGTGCCTAGACACGTCCGAGTCGATGAGCGATAAACTAGCGGCAAGCAAAACCGGGACAATTTGCTCACTTGTGGGAGGGCCAGGCGATGCGTTGGCACTCCGGGCCGCAATATGGAGTCGTCTTGCACCCGGTACAGACTTGGAAGCGTTCACCCTTGGCCGGTGGGCGGCCGCACTGCCTGCAGGACCCGTTCTTGTTGCGAATCCGGTAGATGTCCCCATCTGCCCCCCGAAAGGTCATCTGCAACGGATGTGGCTCCGTAGGCATTGTGCTGAAACCTCTCTATGACTAGCAGCCTGAGGCTCATTCGTCAGTCATGTCTATCAAAAGCGATCATCCTTGTGTGCCACTAGTTATACGCAATACGTACGATGTGCGTGAAGAGCAGCACTACTTAGTGGCCTGCGGCGGCACGGGGGTTTGAACCACACCGCGGCGCCTCGCGGAAGTACAATATCGACGATCGGGAACCTCGATCGGGAAGCATCAAGACATGCAACAGCCGCTCTATGGGCGCCTGCAATAAGTTCCTCCTCTCTTCTCCTCACTACCACATACTACTCTGACGCTATGGGCATCGAAAGTCATCCTCTCCAGACAACGTTCCGACCTGGAGATACCAGCGAGCTCAGAAACAAGGAAGGCAGATGCAGAAATTGTGATCGAGCGCGGAAGAGCGGCGAGCAGTTCATGTTCTGCAAGGGATGCAAGACTGCTGTCTACTGCAGCGAGCAATGCCAGCGCGAGCATTGGAAGGATCATAAGTGCGTGTTGCTCCCTTCTCTTTAATCTGTTCGACGCTGATGAGGCCTACACGCGCAGGGATATGTGCAAGTTCTCGCGCGCGAATGCAGAGATACTCGCGAGTCACCCCGGAGCAGTCGCAGCCCCCGGTGTTGCCGGCATGCCCGACTTTATCGAGCTGCAGGCACTACTCCGCGTTTTCTCAGAGACACACCGGGCGTCCTTTCAGACTATGCTGCTTGCCAAGCTGTTCCTAGACGGCGGCGCGGAAGCCATTCTCGCCGCTGGCCAGAAGATTTGCATCGTTCCCCTCAAATACCGCGAACCGGGGCCCGATGGCGTCGTGAACCCTGCGCTCACCTTCTCCTACACGAAGATGGTGTTTCTTCCACTTGACCGTGTCCTAGCGGATCCGCAGGGGACCCATTCCCGTCTTGTTGACGGATGGAATGTTGAAATTTGGAAGTGGCAGAAGTGGCCGACTTATAGTGAAAATGTTAATTGGACACGCCGGGAGTCGAACCACGGGTCTCGTCACAAGTTCACAAGTGCGTGTGTTATGCCATTACACTACGCGCCCATTACATACTTCAACACGCGCCCTCAGCCAGTGTAAATCTCAAGTTTACACCTGGATGAACCACTTTACGCAGGCTTTCAACGGGCCTAACCATCAGTCTGTCACCCATACCACAGGGTCCGTAAGACTGCATACAGTAGCACCCCGCAGGCGTGTCCACCATGTTGAAATTTGGAAGTGGCAGAAGTGGCCGACTTATAGTG